ACTGTATGGCGTGTATTTATAATACACCTGATGCGAAGTGTAAACGTGTAATGCGATGGGAATGGAGGGGGGAAGTCGGTGCGTTTATTCGTTTATTTGTCATTTGATATTCATTCATTTCATTCGTTTATGATTCGTTTATCATATATTAATGAATTATAATTATCATTGAGCAGTAAAGAAATAACGAATAAATTTTAGTGCCAGCAACCAAAGGCGAATACGAACGAATTTTTCAACAATTGGAAAATGAAAAGTTTGGAAAACCACCGAAACCGTTCCATTCGCTCGATCGTGAAGAACGTGCGTCGATTGAGAAGAAACGTGTCCAAGGTTTGATTTTGCTTGGCTTTCTTTGTTCTTTTCAAATTCCTATGAAGTTACGTAATGTGATTTGTGGTTCACGGAAATTTTTGAAATATTATTGTTATAGCTAGAATTATAACAAATGTTTTGAATTGATTATATTGCATATTTTCATGTTGACGTTATATTTTTTTCAATGAAAGTATTGTTGAGAAATTGTGAATAAACAATTTATTTCTTTTTTCACTCTTCACTAAATTTTATTCACTAATTTTATCCAAATTTCATTATTTCACTAAATTTATTTCTTTTCAAAAGAAAGAAATTTAAGATTACTGCAGACGTGCGTATGGTAAAACGCATATGACTCGTAATGAGTTTCGTTACACAACAATATGTCAGTGTGAAAATGCGTTCTACGTTGACACTGTTAAGGCGTTTCGAGATAGACGTTACAAGTACAAGGCATTACTGAAGGTTGTTTGTGGGATATATATTGAATTGAATTGAAATTTGGATTTTGATTTCGCTTTGATTAAAAGTGAATTGATATTTGAATTTAAAAATTTGAAATTGAATATATTAAAATTTTTGAAATTTATCGTTCTGAATATCTTGAACAAATTTTTTGAACATATTTATCGTTTTGTTGAAAGAAACGTTATCGTTTTTGAGTATATTGAAATTTTGAGGTTTCTTTGAAATCTTTGAGAATACCTTATTGTTAGAATGGTATTTATGACCGCCACAATAGTAATATTCATCCTAGCGCAAAATTGTATGTATTGAATAGATGCGTTTTCATGCAATACAAGTAAGTTGTCATCAATTAATTGTGGTAGAAACCATACAAACGGCATTTATAGAAGGGTCATTGAATGTTTCAGAAAGCGAAATCGGCGTTGAGTGAGGTGCCAGAAGATGATGCAAATGCGCTCAAAAGTGCTCAGGGTCGTGTTGTTTTATACGAAAGTTTACAATTAGCACACAAATGTATTTTGAATTCATTCTATGGATATGTGATGCGCAAAGGTTTGTTTTTAAATTTTTTTTGTTGAATTGTCGTTGCATTAATCAGTGATGTTGAATCAATGCGTGTTCATTTTGTGTGGTTCAACTGTTTTCGGTGTTACCACCAGCATTATCGTAGTCATTTTGCGACTGACCGAGAGATGAAGGATTCAGATTTGATGGAAAGAGCAGGGGAAATAATTGAAGAACTTGGAAACTGTATTCTGTTAATAGGTCTTGATGAATGTTAGAAATTTGATGAGATTTTGTTTAATAAAGGTAGACCAGTGTTTGGTCGTTTTGAATTGGTTAGGTGTGTGGTAGGTGCTGGAAGGTGGGTCAGTTCGTAAGGCATTGTACAGTGCATTTGCTTAGAGTGACTTGAGGTCAGAGCTGGAGTTAAGACTTACAAGGAAAGGTCACGAACTGAACCCAGCGTTTCGGAATGAGATATACATAACATTGTAGAACTCCTCAAGGTGATCATAGATATGTAGGTTTGGATATGTATCATAGATATGTTCTCTTCTTCCTTGTTAAGTTTGGACATTGCTGAACGAAATGTGCGATGAACTGTCCTGTGACCGTGTGCAGTTTCATCAATCATTTTATATGAGATAATTTGAGAGTAGTTGAATGAGTGATGGGAAGTCTGAATGATGATAAGTAGTGAAGTGGGCAATGGCGAGCGATTGAAATTGATTCGTTTGTTTATTTGAAGGATCTCGGTGGTTTTCAATGCAGA